TTCTTGCTGAGATCTGTCGTCTGCAACCAGCACTGTGTCTCCAGAGCTGCAGAAATACAAGCTGCTGTCTTCAGGCCTTGCGTTGTTCACTATCAAAGTAGAGAACGTTAGGTTTGGGCGGCTGATAGGAAACTTGTCCTTGGTAAATCCACTCTCATATGTGGCTTCGGAGCCTTGATTTGCAGCTGCCATGAGTACCAGGCTCTGTCCCTGGAACTGTCTGTACCAGAACAACCCAACAACTTGAGTGTCAACCACACACTGGATTTTCAGCGAGACTCCACTTTGACAGATATCCTGCTTCGGCTCTTGGTAGAGAAGGACACTGAACACAGAGCCTGGTTTAAGAGAGACAGAGATCCATGAAGACAGACATGTTTCCAGTCAGATACGTCTGAAGACAAAGATGTCTGCTTTATTTGCTCAGGTATCACCTGACTGCCTAAATCATGTAGCACACCCCATCCCTTTTACCAACACTTTCTGTCAGAATCCTCTAATCTAAAACATCTTCTTCTCTGACCCCAGGTTCTGCTCAGGACAAAGTTCCTACCTTGGCCCAGGAGAAGTAACAGGAGAGTCCACATCCTTAAGCAACCGTCTCTTTTCTGACAAAAGCACTAAAACTTCAAGCTCACGCTCACCTTTCCTTCCCACACAGTGTAATAGATTCCTTAATCATTCTGTTAGTTTCTTTTTTGTAGGAGTTGACTTTTTGCTAAACATAAAAAAAAAAAAAAAAAAAAAAAAAAAAAAAAAAAACATTGCCCCCTAGGGGAACTATGTAGCTGTTCACTTAGGATACTTAGGATGAGTCATTCATTCTGAAGGCATCCCAAAATGCACTTGCTTATCTGTATAACATTCAGCTATTCATCATTATTGATACATTTGTGATACTTTTGAGTACACAAACACAAATGAGAGGCAACATTGTCTTTGGTGAACCAGAGCTATTTTTTCTTGTTTGTGAGTTGAGCTATTTTTAAAATTAGAGTTATTTATTTTATTTATGTATATGAATGTTCTGGGGCCCTTGAAGGTCAAGAAGAAAGCCTCTTAAACTGGAGTTGCAGATAGTCATGAGCCATAATGGGTGTTCTAGGAACCAAACCTGGATCCTCTTCAGGGCCAGACATGCTCTGAAACTCTGAGCCATCTCTCCAGCCGGAGGATACATTATTTCAACACCATTGTCACTGAATTTTACAAATTGGACATATATATATATATATATATATATATATATATACACACATACATATATATATATACACACACATACATACATACATATATATATATATATATATATATATATATATATATATATTACTTAGAGAACTCACACAAATTCATGGAATCTAAAAAGGAATGACAAATTTAGGACTCTAATTCATTTCTTTGTAATCTTAGAGCCAAGGACTAGCATTGGGGCTACCAAACACTGCCTCATTTTAATACTTTACTGTGTTTTTCTAACTGGCCCCTGAGATTGCAAGTCCAGCTTCCTAAAGTAAATATGGGATCCAGGAAGATAGTCATGGAGAATCTACCCTATCTTATCCCCCTGATTCTAAGATCCCATTATAAATTATGCTCCTGCTTTCTCTTTCATTCTTTCACAGTTTAGGACATCCTCACCATTTATATTCAAGTGTGTGTATATATGCTTGTGTATGCCTCTGTGTGTCCATCAAACATATGTTCACCTGTGTTTAATGAGTATAGAACGAGCAAATCCAAGGTTTATCCTCACAGAATTCCAAAATTCTGAGAATTAAAAATTCTTAGTATAAGAAAACTTACGAATTGAACCATAAATTAAAAATTAACACAATTGAAAAGGTAAACAACGTTAGATTATTTTATCGATTGCAAGTGTCAAATGCGCATATAGTGTATTTGGATCAAGGCATTCCCCCCACTCCTATCCACAATTACTCCAGCTCCTCCACATACCATTTTTATTCCCCAAATTTCATGTGCTCTGCATTTTGTAATTCCACCGAGTCCAGTTAGAGCTGTCTGTGTGTGTGTGGGTGTAGGATCGACTCCTGGGCTAGCTCTTAAGCCCCATGCCCCTAAAGAAAAGTGGCTCTTTCTTATCCAGCAATCATCGATTTCTTGATAACAGTGAAGTATGAAATGTCATGGAAAAGTCTATAAAATGCAGATAGAATGTAATTTTCAACGCAGATTTCCCCACTAACCCAAGGTACAAAAGACATAAAGACATTTAAATTTATGTTAAGGGCAAAACTTTCACTTTTGTTTCGTTTCTCGTAGGACATTACCGGATAGGATAATGTTTCCCTGGCAGACAGACGCAGTGAACCAAAAGGAAAAGAGACCAGGGAATCGGAAAAGTGGAGAATCTAGTTCAGACTAAGGAACAAAAATCTTAAGGGTGACAACTGGGCAATAGAACTAGTGAGCAATCAGTTCAGATTAGAGCAGAGGTTTCCAGAGACACAAATGTTGTCAAAAATACAGGCTGTGTATCCACTAAGCAAAACAATGTTTCAGCAGCTTGCAAACCCCTAGATTGTTAGTGGGGAGGCAATCCTGCTAAAAGAACCTAGACTCTTTAGAAGCACGGGTGGAGGAAGGAACCAGAGAATAACGGTACTGGGCAGGCATTAAAAAGATTAAGGCAAATGGGATGTGTAGCTTCTAAGAGCCAACAAACAGAACTTCAGGATGGGCAGTGTAAAGCATGGTGACCAGGTTCACAAGCCGTGTGGCCAGGAGCACCATATTTTAACCCAGGTTCGTTGTGTTTAATTGTAGGAAAATATTGCCTATGTGTCAGATCATTGGGTTACATTGGCTGAACTACGTACAGGGAAGAAACAATTACTTCCCTTGTCCTTGCTCTCTGCAGGAAAAGCTCTGTCCCTCTGTGTCCCAGCAAAGAATGCCATGTTTAAACAATTTTTCCCCGTTTTTTTGGTGTCATCCATCCTCTCTGGCTCTGGTAATTTTTCTGCAGCCTCTTTTTGTGTAACTCCCTAAGCCCTGAGGGGAGGGGTTCAGTGAAGACATCTCCTTTAGGACCGAGTCTTCTAAAACCTCTCACCCTCCGCACACTGTGCAGTTGTGGGTCTATGTAATAGTCCCATCTCCTGCAAGAGGAAAGGCACCGACCTGTGGGTATAGCAGAAGCTGGATGGATGGAGAGGTAAGAAAAATATGGAAGGATATGGGGAAGAGGAACACATTATCAGAATATTCCATGTGAATATTTCCAATAAAAATAAAATACTTTTTATTACTTGAGACTATCATTGCATGCATATAATGTGTTTTGGTCAAGTCTGCCCCTCCATTTCGTATCAGATAATTCACTGTTACAGTGGCCTGATTTTATAATTAAAACCCGTGTTTTCATGGGTAGATTTAGAGGGGCCTTTTTTTCCCCCAAAGAAATCTTCCATTTCAAAATGACATATATGTTGAAATAATAGGCAGTATTTTCAGATGGTTAGTGAGATTTTTATGTACTTTTATGAAGCTATATTTTGAACTTTTCTTAGAACATTACTTGCAATTTTTGCACAGATTCAAGCCTCCTTTTTCAGCAATATTTTAGTCCCAGGCATGCTATTTCATCTCTGCTTATTTTCATTTCATTCCAGTCCCTTTCCTCTCTGCTCGGGCTGCAGGACATGGGCAAGGAGGAGGAGGCATGTGGCAGGGCATGATGTTCAGGTGGCAAATTCTGAACCAGAGACTCGACTTTGATGGCATGCAGATGATCCTGGTAGCAATGAGAACGCGAACGCCTTCATCCGATCCCAATCTTGGCAATGCCTGCTGTGGGCGATAGTGGATTCGTGGGTCATGTTTGCACATACACAAAGATCCCTATGGAGAGTCCTGCTGAGTGGTTACATCCTGTAAGGGTGCCTTGTGTCTGTCCTGGATGTCAGCTTCAGTCCGGAGACTTCATTTCCTGGTAGTCTTTCCCTCCTCTGCAGGGGGATTGAGCACTAAACTTTCTTATTTTGACAGTTGTTCTGTTCTTGCTCTCTATTATCCCACATCAGCTAGCGTCCAATTTCTCATGGAAACATAGTTCTAAACATTATAATACATCTTTACTGAGTTCCTTTACATTCCCCGAGTGTTGATACATTGTCATAGGACCAACTACATAGCTTAGACTGTAAAGATATCGGAAGGCAATCCTGTCAACCTGTGAGTTGTCCTCTGATTCATGTGTGAATGGATGTGCTCAGGAAAGCATGCCTGTCTATGAGCACAACTGCAAAAATATACAAATGAATGAAATTTAAAGTTGTAAATATGTTGTTTCAGGTTTGTTTTATCTCGGTGGTTTAAAAAAAAAATCTTGTAATATTTTGTGTTTCATTCTCCCAAGAAACACATTATCCTGGTGGTTGTAAGACTGGTTGCAGCTTGATCAGTGGCACCACGGTTTACTCTTGCCTTGACTAGAGACTGTCCAATGAGACTTAACTGATAAAAGAATCTGAATCAGTCAGACTGGATTGGTTTTAAATTGAATAAATAAGATTCAAACTGTATAAATCTTTTCATTTAGACAGACAGTAAAGTCAGTCTAAAGACCAGAGACATGCTAGTGCCCTCTGGTGGCACATCACAAAGGACAAAGTAAACAAAGTCTTAAAAAGTGAAGGATGAACTTATTTAAAATGTTAAGCAGAGCTATAGAGTAAATATGAAAGAAGGCATCTCATAGGGTGTCACTCTCATGAGTTTAGTTTAGGGACATCTCATACTTCAGGGCAGGTTAAGTTCACGTTGTCTTCCGAATTATAAAGGAGTGAAAATATCATATGCTTTTATTTTTGCTGAGATAGGAGTGTGTAGATGTTCCTCTTCAGTGGCCGCCTCTTTCTAACTGGCACTAAGTCATATGAAAGACAGCTTCAGCCGTGAGGTAGAGGCACCCCCTTCCCATGGGGGCTCTTTTTTGTGTGAAGAGAATGTGGTTGTGCAGAGCTGTGGATAGACTGCTGGAGCAGAGGTACACAGATGTCTGGTTGGCTTTAGCAGACTCCAGTATCAGGGAGAAATTCTCCCTCTTCTTCCGGGAAACCCTGTATCCTTTAGGGATGTCTCGTTCACTGTTACTGTCAACATCGCATGATAAATAAATCAGTCGTAGCTCCAGACCTCGGTCTTGTCGATACCAGTACATCTTTTCATGGCCCATGTCCTGTACACATTCCAGGACAACTTCCTCTCCCACTCTTTGGACCAGGTATCTTGGCCTCTGGGTTACTTCCATGTACACAAGGTCTTTTGGAGGAGAATAAGAAGAATAAGAATAAGAAGAATAAGCATACTAAGGAGGAGAAGACAAAGAAGACGAAGAAGAAGATGAAGAGGAGGAGGAAGAGGAAAAGGAGTAGGAGAAAAAGGAAAAAGAAGGAGGAGGAGAAGAAGAGAAAACAAGGCTACCAATCAGTCTGATACTGGAAAAATCCGGTACACAGCCTGGAAATAACATTACGTGGTTTTCACTCAGTGCCCAGAACATACCAATTTCCAGGACTCACCTATTCCTAGGAAACATAGCACCACAACAGCGATGAGTCCATCTCTCATGGCAGTTCTGAAGAGAGTGTGGTCCCTCTTGCTGCTCTAGCCTGCCTGCCTATGATGTCATTGCACTTGACCACACTCATGAGCTCGCCTCCTTCCTGTAGACTTAAACGTCTGGAGGTGTCAGAGAGAACTTCACAGAAGTACATGTTTGTATCTCTCCCTGTGTGTGCACATGCTTGTGGAAATGTCTTGAAGTATACTAATTTAGTCTGCTGATAGTATTTATTTTTAGATACTTCTAATTGTTGCTGTTGTGTAGTATCCACAGATGGCTGGAACTGTAGTTGGATGTTTTCAACATACAATAGACTAGTTCTCCTCACAAAGCATCTGTCCGTCTTCTTCAAGTTTCACTGCTGGTAGTGACAACTATGGTGTAAATATCATTTAGAGGTTTGCCAAGAGGGCTGGTGGGTACAACGATCCACCAAAGGTGGGTTTATGGGAAAGCAATAAAGTATGAGCTGTAGACAAATAACTTGAAAAACATATTTAAATGGGATGGGGGAGTCGGGGGTGGGGGAGCATGGGAGGATGGGAGGGAGGGAACTGAGATCGATATGTAAAATAAGAAAAAGAAAACATATTAAAAATATTTCTGTTTTTGTCATGTGCCAGGAATTCCTGACAGTGTTGGTAATAGATGGCTTCATGCAACATCTGTACAAATGTGAACAGAGTCTGCAAATGTGCAGTGTGGTATGACATGATTAAGCGAGAAGGGTTACACTGATGTTTAAATGATCTCTGACACACAGTCTCAAATGATAGGAAAGCTTCGGTCAGTCTCAGAGGGCCACTGTGTAGAGTGCAGGTCTTCCCCGAAGGTGGGGTGAAGCAAACTGGATAGAATAAAGCTAATTCTGTTGCACAGTCTGGGTTGAGGAGTTCCCTTGGGAAGAGCCAGCAAAGGATTGGAGGAAAACACTGGCAGTTCCAGTGGGTTCTCAGCCTAGGTGTAGGTAACCATCCCCATAGGAGTCATGTGTTCATTATCCCGCATATCAGGTATTTACATTGCAATTCATAACAGCAACAAAATAATCACAGTTATGAAATAGCAATGAAATATTTTTTAAACGGTTGGGGGTCACCCTTGCAATAAAGGGTCACAGCAGTAGGAAGGCTGAGAAACACTCAGATTGTAAGCCAAAGTGGTTCCTTGTGACTCCTCCCTCCAGGGCACAGGGCTTCAGGTGTGTTCCTGTGTGGGGAGATAAGGAATGCTTCTTCTGAGTGCTTCTTTTCTGTGGGAGCACTGTTTCCCCCAGTAAGGGCGGGACTCGGGAAACAAAGGTCACCTCCTCCCTTTGTGACAGCCATTTTGTGCCGGAGGATGTGGCTTTCAGAATTGTGGTCTAACTGATGGAAGAGGGCAGAGAGGCTACAGATTTAGAGTGTGGGAGAAATCCTCAGTCTTACTTAAAGAAACACCCTGTCTCTTAAAGAATTACATTCACTTAGCACTCTAGGAACCATGTGACTAGTAGGGTAAATACTGTCCCATATCAAGATCCACACACAGAAGCTACGGTGCATATGTTAGTTACATTCCAAGCTTATCTTCTACCCCGGGATGATATCTAACAGGTGTCTTGGTGAAATTGTGACCCACAGATATTATGTACAAAATCCAGATAATTTAGGGAGGGTAGTAATGTATCTCCATAATAACTAGTGACTGTAGGGTCTGGCAAACCAAGGCATCATCCCTATGCCTCTGACTTCTCTATTTTAATAAGACAAAGAGCCACACAACAGAGAACCCCATGGCCATGGTGGGCAATCTGTGGGTGCGGCTGGGGCATTTCTGTTAGCTCTTCTCAAGCTGTAAGAAGAGCACATGACAGGGAACACATCATGCTGTTGTAAGAGCACTCAACCTATCCGGATGCCAAGAGAAGACTAACTGTTACCAAGAGAGGTGATCTGGCAGAGGAGAGCCACAGATGAAGAATGGGTTAGCATAGGGCACACTTCTGTACGCCTATTGGGAAAACTTCTGTATGAGAAGGCAGGGCGTCAGAGTACTCAACAGCACAAAGGCATGGAGACTTACAAGTACACAAAGCAGTGGACACTAGAGAGCAAATTAAGGAAACTGAATGTTTTTCAGCCCAAGTGAGATTTGTGGGCAGGAACAGTTGGAAAGCTGGCACTCAGGGTAGCTGGTTGGATGGTGGTCAGAGAAACTCAGGTGAGATACTGCACACTAATGGCAAAGATGGAGAAAACTATTTTAAAAGTCACTGCAACAAACTTAATAGGTAAGTGCAAAACATATGGATTTGGTGTAGGAGGGCATCAGAGCAGCCGTGAATATCACTCCTACGTTGTGAGCTTGCACAGTGGTGAATGACAAAGTTTGGTTTGGTAAACAATTCAGACTATGGCATTCCTGCTCACACAAAAACAACTGACTAAAGCATCAATAAAGCCAGTAATATGAGAAGATTCAAACTGGCTATGAGTGTCAGCTTTGGGCAGCAGCTCCACTGTATCTGAAGATTTAATCCCAACATGGGCAAAGAAACACCGTGATGCCCCGGCACTCTGGACCTAACCCAAGGAGCTTGTTCTGTCTGAATTTTGAAAGGCTCTGTGGTGTAAGAAGTTGAGAACTGGAGTATGGGTGTCACTCACTGAACTCACTAAGTGAATTGCACTGCAGAGGGGCCCTGAGGCTGTGGAGTCATGGAGGGCTTCCATGGCATTCCGAAAAGATGTTACTTTCTCTCATTTGGAGAGGAGGCTTCTTGCCCATGTGGCTGTCCTATTTGTGCAGGGAGCAGCTGGCTGTGTGGGGCTCTGTTGGCTGCTGGCACAGAAGTACAGGGAGGTCTGGCTGACTCTGGTAGATTCCAGTGTCAGAGGAAAGGCACTTTTTTGTTTTCTAGAGACACTATACCCACCAGAGACTTCTCCCTTATCGGTAATATTAACATTAACTGAGTAATAAATCAACTTTAGACCAAGACCTAAGTCTTGTCTATACCAGAACATAGAGTTATGATTCATATTCTGAGAGCAACTTATTATCAACTTCTTCCCAGGTTCTGTGATGAGGTGTCTTGGAGTCTGGGTGACTTGGTCCTCCGCGGAGCCTATGAATGAAGAACACAGTGGTTGAGACAGCCTTCTGGGTGAAAAGAGCAAATTCTGAAGCCTTCCGGGCAAACATCTGAGCCCTGATCTACAAGCTGTAGCCATTTGTCACTCACGGATTCCCAGGACTCACCTGTTCGTAGGAGATAAAGGATCACACAGCTTAGGAGACGGGTAACCATGGCAATATCATAACAAAACCCCTTCCTCAGCCAGCTCTTTGCTAGCCGCCTTGAGGCTAGCATTAATTTCTGTGATGTTCCTCTCACATTTTCAGTTCATGGGTGCCAGGAACATTTGAGAGAGGGAAGCTCCTCTCCGTTTCTGCAGCAGCTTGGTGTGGACACAGACACCAAAGCAGCCTTTATGGTCCGTTTCATTTCTTGAGTTTCCTTGGGACCGTGTGTCTGTATGCATGCACTGTGTTTTTTGTATCAGCACACTCTTGTAAAACTTGCCAAATATTTACGTATTTTAGAGCCTCATGATCTGAACTGGAATATCGCGTGACTATCACCTAGAAATGTGAGAACAGAAAGCTTACTCTTCTATCAAAACTGAATTTTATTTTTAGAGTCTATTTCTACTCTGCAGAAAAGACTCCAAGCATCTTCCTTAGCCTACCCTCTGGTGTGTGTGTGTGTGTGTGTGTGTGTGTTTGACACTGTCTTTTAAAATATGCAAAGGTGTAAAAATTCCGTCAAATTCACACCAGAGATTGTTTTGCTATCGTGCATCCCATTCAAAACATTAGAACCACCTCTCCTTTGCTCTATAGCAGACAAGACGCAGTTGTTGCTCCCAGAGCCAACACTTGTTTGCCTGGCATGTATTATAGTATGTTTCTTGCCTTTCTTATTCTCTCTCCTTCTCCGGGAGAGGCTGGCGAGAAGCATAGCACATCTAGAATTTTCTTTTCCTCTTAATGTTTGAAAATCAAGGTATAGGAACTGGAAAGATGGCTCCGTGGTCGGTCAAGAGTACTCTTCCAGAAGACTGCTTGGGTTTGATTCTCAGCACCCACGTAGTAACTCAGAACTGATACCTTCTTCTATTCTCCTTCAGCACCAGACACACACGTGGTACACAGACATACATGCACAAAAAAAATCACACCAAGACATAACATAATAATAATAATAACATAAATTAAAGCCATTTATTAAACCCTTGTATGACAATACATGACTTACATTTCAGCTACACAGCCATCTTTCCTTACATGACTTTGAGCCCAGGTATGGACTAACAGAACTATCTTAATTCTAGTCTTGTTTCCCTTTGTGCTCAGATGATCTCAATTCTGAAAAGTGCGCTCTGTTATCCACTACCAGCCCTGGAGAACCCAAATTTTGAAAAAAAAATGTGTGTTTTAAAAATTATGCATACACATTCAACTTTTTATGCTTACTCTAATATTATGATTTAAAATGTGATGGGTATATTACAGAACATGTTAGTGCCCTCTAGTGGAATATCACGGTGAATATCACTTGAACCAAGTTAGAGCCTCAACTCGATAATCGATGACTACACTTAATTAAATAGGTCCTTGTGTGGGGGTGGCTTCTGTGAGTTCAGCGATG